CAGAAACCATGCAAAGCAAGAAGGCAATGGGGAGACATATATAAAACCCTGAAAGAAAAAACTGCCACCCAAGAATCCTTTATCCAGCAAAGCTGTCAACCAACTACGACAGTGTAATAAACATACAAACCACAACTAAGGACAGAAAAGCAGGTAGCCAACACACAGCTGACTGTGTTCAGAGAATCCCCCCACTGAGCAATCCAAGTCTCGGCGGGTTTCTCACGGCCTTCATCCCGGCCCCTGCCCTGCACATTGCCACACCATGCTGAGGAATGACACTTTGCCTGTTACATGTCACAAAGAACTCAGGGGAGACTGAATTTACATAAAGATACTAAACAGATTTAGGGCTTCCTCTGACTCCCACAGAGTCCTGGTGAGGCGCTCTAAGATAAGCACAAGATCACAAGGTCGGCAGTTCAAACTCACCAGCTGTATCTCAGAAACCCTATGTAGGGTCTCTAAAGTAGAAACTGCACTTAACAATAACTGTAACCCACACCTCCACAACCCAACTGTTAAGAATGTAAGCCAAGCATCACCCTGACTTTTATGCGCAGCTGGAAACCGATTCCTGGTTGTGAATCGTTCCATGGTGGCTACCTGCATGTTACTGCGGTACTCTATAGTCTGGGCCTGACCCTGCTGCACCTACCTCCAAAGCCCAGAATCGGCCTTTGTTACTAGGTAATTTTTGCCTAAGAAAAAAGGTGTTCTGACACTCAACTGGGTCATGGTTCTCAAATTGGTGCCTTAGCACCGCCTGGGAAATGTTTCAGAGGGGAGCTCCCAGGTACCCATCAGGCTCGCCTCCTGCCCCAGGTCTCTTACAGAGCATGGAAGCCCCTAGACACTGGGCAGTTACCCCAAATTCAGCACCTCTCCACCGAGTCTCTGAAAAGAAAGAGAAGGGAGCTCCTCCAGCGCCCCTTAAGCTCTGGCTGCAGGGCAGACTGCGCAGGAGCGGATGACAGCTCCAGGAGGGAAGCGTCCACTTCCGAGGCAGAGCCCTGCACCTCCTGGAAGAGCCCGCTGTGCTGTTTCCATACCTGTACGGGTAAGGATCAGCACGTCATCACTGCATAAGGCCCACCCGGGATGAACACGTGCACCAGGAAACCCAGTGTCAGAGGGAGAGGACTGCTTGGCAGAGCAGCCAGCCTGCTCCGACCCAGTCTGTAGACACCTCACAGTGCCCTCGACTGCTGTGGGGAAAGGTGCTCAGGCCAGCTCCCTCCTGGGAAAACTAGCCACCCCTGGTTATGGAACAGCCTTCTTGTTTATTTTAAAGGGTTGATTATAGTCCAGAGGATAGAATCCAATCCACCTGCATCAAAAGTCTGTCTGACTTTTCCCCACTAAACATGAGATGCAGTAGGACAAGCCCTAGACTGCTAACCGCTGGATGGTGGTTCAAACTTACCAGTCACTCCTTGGAAACCCAGTACAGGGTCTCCGTTAGTACAAACCACCACCACCAAAGATGAGACACGAATTTAAAGTCAATCGACAGCCCCGATCTATGTAGTTACCTTTGCACTCGCTGCCGCCGCCTTCTGCTTGGCTCTCCAGAGCTTTGGGGGCAAATGGTGAAGAGCCCGGCTTGCTCTGGGCCGTATCTTTGCCAAACAAACTGGTGTTTCCAGGGGAGAAAGAAAATCCAGTCAGGGGCCCGGAGCTCAGGGAGCTCAACACGGCGCTGTCAACTTTCTTGCCAAAGGTGAACGAGGAGGCAGGGGGCACTCCTGGGGACGCTTCTGCCGTCTTCTTCTCAGACAAGGCTTCTGTGGTCTTCTCAGACGATGCCTCGGGTTTGTTGCCAGCGAACAAAAACGTTGATTCTTGCTGTAATTTTGTTGACCCAAACAGCGAAGGAGTCTGCGCCTCAACAGGCATCTTGCTGATTTCACTTTCAGAACTGCTGTTGCTACTGCCACCGCCGCCGTCCCCATGGTGCTGTTCAATGTCCGCTAGATACCTCCCGTAGTCCTGGAAGATGGGGGTCAGGTCACACAGCGGGTTTGTGTTCACGTGCTTTGTGATCCAGTCACGCACGGAGCAGTTTAAGGCTGCCAACTGCTTGTGATAGGCACTCCCCTGGCACGCTGCATGCGTGGACAAGCTGGAAGAGGGCTGTGGACTGTTACCATTCGTTTTAGGATTTGAAATCTTTTTCTCACCCAAAGAGGTGGGGCCGTTGGCAGTAAGAGAACCTGTAGAAAATGAGAAGGCACTTAGAAGACGTGGGTTTGATGAGCATCTAGGTGGGAGGACCTGTGCAGGAAGGGCCAGACCAGCGAGCCGCTGCTCATACGGCGGCACCCAACAAGTCACCCAGGCCTGTACCGAGCGGCAATGTCCCCTCACTTTGCCGGTCTACAGACTGTTGCCAGAGTCTGAGCAGCACTAGCCGCCAGCCCAACTCAGGACGACCCGTGTGCGTCAGGGTCAGCAGCAGCTTCTACGTGGGAAGTCCACCTCCAGGCCTTTCTTTGGAGGTGCCTATAGGCAGAGTCCACCCACAACCCTTTTGGTGGACAGCTGATAACAATTACGTGTACCACTCAGGGCCCCAACAGGGTAGAGTGCACACACATTTGTTTACATCTGAACAGAAGCCACATTAGTTAGCCAGGTCCAACCTGATCATTCAAGCCCACTCTCTGTGGCTTGCTTCACCCCTCCCTATAATCAGGGCAGGCAGGCAACACACCTGGTGCCAACCAAACCCAGGCAGGAGGCCCCACGGCAGGGACAGTACCCTTGAGCCTCACTGGCATATGGCCCACGAACGGATGGGTGGCAGGGAACCCTTTATAGAGTAGAGTCTTCTGAGGCTCAGAGGTCAAGGGGCTTTTTTTTCATGGGGATATGCTGAGAACAGGAGCCAGGTCCATTTGGGCTGAAAAGCCTGTATTCTACCCCTAACTCTGTATACCTCTAATGTCTCCCGGGTCTCTGTGTCCCTCACGCTACACAGCTGATATCTACCCCTCATCCTGTTCACAGCTGACATCTCCTAGGCCTCTACCCCTAAAACTCTGTCCACAGCTGATGTCTCCTAGGCCTCTACCCCTAACTCTGTCCACAGCTGATGTCTCCCAGGCCTCTACCCCTCTGTCGACAGCTGATGTCTCCCAGGCCTCTACCCCTAACTCTGTCCACAGCTGATGTCTCCTAGGCCTCTACCCCTAACTCTGTCAACAGCTGATGTCTCCTAGGCCTCTACCCCTAACTCTGTCCACAGCTGATGTCTCCCAGGCCTCTACCCCTAACTCTGTCCACAGCTGCTGTCTCTTGGGTTTTTACGCCTACGTCTTACATAGTTGTTGACATCTTCTGATTTCTATCCCCTAAAACTCTAGATACTTAGTTTGGTTCTGTAGGATCAACACTGGACTGCTGACTACAAAGTCGGAATCTCAAACCCACCAGCCGCACCTCAGAAACTGAATTGGAACCAACTAGATGGCGCTTCCACTCTGTACACAGCTGAAGTCCCCGGCTTCTACCCCTCTCGTTAGCCTCTTGCTTGGCTCAGTTCCAGTACCAGGACATGCATTTCTTTGCCAAGTTCTTCTTCACAGAGTGTCCTCAGAAGCTACTTACTGAAGGCGGCCTTGGTCTCTGCTGCTGCCTGTGTACTGCTCAAGACAGGGGTGCTGGGGGTGCTGCTCCCATTGGACAGTCCCAACGGCTTCACTCCTGCCACGTTCCCGAATCCCGAAAATCCTCCTCCTCCTCCAGAAGGCGCGACCAAACCTTTAAAACCCTTAAAAGCTCCACCACTATCAGACTGAAACAGAAAGAAGAGTGCACATCAGACATCACCAAGTAAGCAAGCAACTGACAGTCACACTGTAGTTAAATAGCCCTCAGGCTCCTCCTGAACCACATGAGACAGAAACTGCCCACCCAGAACAAGGGACTGGCGCATAGGGAGCGCCCGGAGCACCATGAGAGGGACTGGACTGTCAGATGTAGAATGCGTATTTCACATAAAAGGTCAAAAAACAAAAAAACAAAAAACCAAGGCAATAATCTACCACCCAGGCCCGAGGAATGAAAACACATTCTTAGTACAGCTGAACCCGAGTGAAAGATTTCATGTACATCAGCCTGCTGGACCTGTACATATAATTGGATCAGATGCACAGGAAGGGTGGATAATACCCACTTACACTTCCATTTCTAAAAATGTTGGTAGCTTTCAACCGGTTTTCAGCCTACAGACGCTGGATTTGAGAATCTCCCATCTAGATTCTGGTCATGCTCCCAACTGTCCTCAGTGCTTCTGGAAGCCAGGATCTCTCTAGCAGATTACTGGTCACTGTTTCTCGCTTTTTCAATCACTAAGCTACGCAGTCTGGGAAATGTTGGCATTCCTATGAGCCCCTGATAAGTTCATAGTGTTTCATTTTCAAAGCTGTGGTCCCACTGCAGGGACATGAATCTGTTTCCTGGACCAAAGTTCCAAGGGTTGCCCTAGGAACTGTTTTCAACAACCCATCAGAGGAATACATGCCTGTGAGTGTCTCAGAGAAAGCACACTGGTCCCACATACACCTCACACCCCACTTACTCAAAGTAGGACTGCCCCATTAACTGCCAGTTCATTTAATGTCACCACACACTGTCCAACCAAGACAGGGGTTTCAGTCACAACCAGCATTCCAGGCGCTCACTGGCCATGGACATTTAGGGTCGTGTCTAATGAGACAAGGTAAATGCCAGATCTTAACAGGTGTGGACTTAATGCAGGTAACAAATATAGGTTAGCATCTGAGGTTGAGCAATGCAATCAAAGTTTAAGTCACTATTACTTACAACACACCACTGGAAAGCAATGACCCAGCAATGCGATGTAAAGCAGGGGCTCTTTAGGGCCTTTTAGGTGTACTGTAGATTTTAAGGCCACATGGTATTTCTAGCTATTCCAGAGACTGCTAACAGCAAATTGGCTCTAGAATCATCACCCAGAACTGCCAAGAACTACTGGTCTTAACAAAAGGAATGGTGACATTAGAAAATGAGACTCAAGAGATGACTTGGAAGCTGTCCAGGGGCTCTCCACACCCCCGCCTCCCTCATTGGACGTCTGCTCCACAGGCAGGGAGATTGGGTCATTTTCATGCACCAGAGTATCCCCAGTGCCCACCAGATCTGCTGCGTGAACCAGTAAAGTCACTATTTGGGAAAAGCCGCAACACACCAGCACCTTGGTATTTTATTAATTCAATATACAAATTCTGATGGAAACACAAAATTATGAAGTTTGGCAAAAAGAGATGTGGCTTCCAATGCTCTGTTCACGTTTACGTCACTTTGCTTTGGCCAAGGTTTGGGCGAAGCTGTCTTGCTTCCACTCCTGCATCCTCAGTCACCAAGAAGCTGGAGCTCGTCTGCAGCCGGCTTCTCCCAGAGCTATACTCACCACCCAATTCCTCGTCTGAGTCCTCAACCAGCACATCTCATGGGCACTCCAAACAAAATGTTTCCCATCGAATCACTTCCTCCCTAAATGTCTCTCCCCTGTCTCTCCACAGTGAACCGACACCCAGCTACTCACCAGTCTCAAGGCAAGAACGGTAAGAGCTCAGCAGACAGCCTGGAACTAAAGGACACTGACAGAGTGCCACCACCAACTGCGAGGTGAGGGGCACCCCAAAGTGGCCACCGGGAGGTGCAGGCCTCTCCTGACAACTGATGCCATAACACTGAGATGGCGCTCCGGGTCTAATGTACATGGGAGCATGGTGGGCGTGGGGTAACTGCTGAATGCAGGCTCCGTGACCGTCCCAATGAATGTTCAGCTTTGTACGTCAAGCACGGAGGTGAAGCATCTAACACTCACTGCCCGCAAAGGGCTTCTGTGCTAGTTCAGGACTTGCCTCTGCCCTCCCCCAACCAGGGTCCCAGGCACAGAGAGGACGTGGCGAGCTGACTTACGGGCCCTGGCTCACTCCTCCTCCCTGGCCTTTCCTATCACTGCCCTTGTTTTTCTTCTTCCTCTTGTCACTCAGTTGGAATCTGTCTACTTCGTTTCTTCAGCTGCTTAGGCTCCTCCCCTTTGAAGGTACAGATTTGACACTTTACAGGTTTTTACAAGGAATAGAAGGAGCTCTGGTAGCATAGTGGTTATGAATTGGGCTGCTAACCTCAAGGTCAGCAGTTCAAAACTACTAGCTGTTCCGTGGGAGAAAGATGAGGCTTTCTGCTCCCGTAAAGATATCCAGCCTCGGAAACCCTGTGTAGGGTGTCACTGTGAGTCGGAACCAACTCCACAGAACTCAACAACAACAGGAGACATGTTTAGGTGGTCTGTTATGGGCTCGCTCCCAGAGGTGGGAATGCTCTGCAAGGCAGACATCAAATTAGGCTTCAATGTCAAATGCTAAAGAAAAAAGCACTCACTTCAAAGCCAACATTTCTACGTTTTGCTTTTTTTATGGCTCTATTCTTCAAGACTTCCTCACTGGCCACTGAGAATGTTCCCACCTGCAGGAGAGCACAAATTAAAGAGTAAGAGAAAGTCAACAATGAGACAAAATGAACCACCAAAAAAGTTATAACAAATTTATCTAACATATCTGCTGTTTTTCAAATATTGTTACTTTATCACACAAATGACAAAGTACAATTCCAACTAAGGAGCATCAAGAACTCCCAGCATCCAACCATTCACACAGGCTTCAAATCCCCGTACGCACAAAGGAGGGCAAGGTATGCAAGCCAAACACTTCCGAGGAGACTGTTAATAACCAATTCTTCAGATTAAAGTCCGGTACATTCTAAGATATTAAAAAAACAAAACAAAACATAGAATAAAAGTTCCATTTCAAGAAGCAAAATCTTTCTTAAGTCAAATGCCTGAAGGCACACCTTACAGATTACAATCAGTTGTAGTAGCACCAGTTCTGAAATTCAGATGCCCAAAACCAGAATCTTGAAAATGGTCTCACCTGCACTTATAGTTTGTTGAAAGATTCCAACTTGCATCCTATCAAATTCCCAGAGCCTTGTTCTTGGCCAGTGCCTTCAGGATCACTGGCTCTTGATCACATGGCACCTCTTGAAACGGTGGAACACCAACCATTTCTTTTTAACACAGTGACTGCAAATTCCTCCCATTTTCTTTGGATGCTTTCTACATCATTCAATATTTTGTCCATAGAATCCTTTGATATTGCAACTCCAGGCTTAAATTTTCTCTTTAATTCTTTCAGCTTGAGAAATACTGAGCAAGTTCTACCCTTGCAATTTCCTAAGCTCAGGTCTTTGGACATTTCACTATAATTTGACTCTGTCTTCTCGAAGTGCCCTTTGAAATATTCTATTCAGCTCTTTTGCCTCCTCACATTCCTTCCATTTCTCCTAGCATTACTATGCTGGAGATGAAGTTTTAGAATCTCTTCTGAAGTCCATTTTGGTCCTTTCTAAACTTAGGTGGGACATGTTCAAGGTCATATTTTAGTTCTCGTGGACTTGTTTTCACTTTCTTCAGCTTCAGTCTGAACTTGCATATGAGCAAGTGATGGTCTGTTCCACATCTGTCTTCGGTCTTGTTTTGGCTGACGATATGGAGTGTTTCCACTGTCTCTTTCCACAGATGTAGTCAATTTGATTTCTTGTGTATTCTATCTGATGAGGCCCATGTGTATAGTTATCGTTTATATTGTTTAAAAAGGTATTTGCAATGAAGAAGTCATCGATGTTGCAAAATTAATGTGATCTCCTGCATCATTTCTATCACCAAAGCCGTATTTTCCAACGACTGATCCTTCTTCTTTGCTTCCAACCTTTACATTCCAATTGCTAGGTAATTATCAATCAATACATCCTGGCTGCATGTTTGATCAATTTCAGACCGCATCATCATTGGCTTTAGTGGTTGGTGCATAAATGTAAGAGTTGTAGTAACTCGCCTTTCTTGTAGGCACATGGATATGATCCAGTCAGACAGCCAGTGTTGTACTTCCAAGGTAGATCTTGAGATGTTTTGATGTTGAATGCAACACCATTCTTCTTCAATCTGTCATTCCCAGCAAAGTAAACTACGTGATCGTCACACTTAAAATGGCCAGTACCAGTCCCTCTCAGCTCATCAATCCCTGGCCCTCACTCACCTGTGCCAAGAACTTTGGAAGACTGCTACGTGGCCCAACAACTAGAAGAGATCCATATCTGTACCCATTCCAAAGAGAGGTGACCAATGGAATGCGAAAAAAATCACTGGCCAATATCATTAACACTACATTAATGATTAAGTAAAATTTGCTAAAGGTAATTAAAAAATGGCTCCAACAATACTTTGACAAAGAACTTTCAGAGGTTCAAGCTGGATTCAGAAGAGGACATGAAATGAGGGAATCTCACTGCTGATGTCAGACGGATCTTGGCTAAACGCAGAGAACACCCAAATGTTTACCTGTGATTTATTGACTATTCAAAGGCTTTCTACTGTGTGGATCATGACAAGCTATGGACAACATTGCAGAGAATAAGTATTCTCTAAGTTAATTGTGCTCATGAGGAGCCTATATATAGACCAAGAGGCAGTTGTTTGACTAGAACAAGGTAACACTGAATGGTTTAAAATTAGAAGAGTATGCGCCAGGGTTGTATTTCTTTCACCACACTTATTCCACCTGTATGCTAAGCAAATAATCCAATCCGAGGAGCTGAACTGTATGAAGAACGTGGCATTAGAATTGGAGGAAGACTCATTATGCAGAAGCTACAACCCTGCTTGCTGAAAGTAAAATACTTACTGATGAAGATCAAAGACCACAGCCTTCAGTATGGGTTGCACCTCAAGGTAAAGAAAACAAAAACCGTACCACTGGGCCAATTAATAACCATCAAGATAAATGAAGAAAAGCTTGAAGATGTCAAAGACTTCGTTTTGCTTGGATCAACCATCAACACGCATGGAAGCAGCAGTCAAAAAACCAAATGATGTATTGCATTAGTCAGATCTGCTGCACAAGACCTCTTTAAAGTGCTCAAGAGCAAAGATGTCACTTTGAGGATTAAGATGCTCCTGACCCAAGCCTTGGAATTTTTCAATCACTTCATAAGCATGTGGAAGTTGGACAATGAATAAAGACCCTAGAAGGAGTGATGCACTTGAGTCGTGGTGTTGGAGGAGAATATTCAAAGTACCATGGACTACCAAAAGAACAAACAGATCTGTGCTGGAAGAAGTACAATCAGAATGCTCCTTGAAGTCAGGATGGCCAGACTTCGGACGTATCAGGAGTGACAAGTCCCTGGAGAAGGGCATCATGCTTGGTAAAGTGGTGGTTTGGCAAAAAAGAGGAAGACCCCAAAAGAGATGGCTTGGCACAGTGACAGTGGCAATGGGCTCAAGTGTAGCAACTACTGTGAGGGCCAGGCAGCATTTTGTCCTTTTGTGTGTAAGGTACAAGCTATGAGTCAGTAACAGACTTAATGGCACCAAACAACAACAGTGATCAAAACAATGAGCAACAGCATGACAAATGGAGGAGAGACTGAAGATGGCGTTTTACTTGAATTCATAATCGATGCCCATGGAAGCAGCAGTTCAAAAATCAGACAGCGTATTGCAATGGGCAATACTTCACTAAGGTGTCAAAAAGCAAATATGTCCCCTTAAAGACTAAGAATCCACTAACCCAAGTTAAGGAGTCTTAATTATCTCATATTCATGTGAAAACTGGACAACGAGTAAGAAAGACTTGAGAATGGATGCATTTGAATTATGGTGATAGTGAATATTAAGTATATTATGAATTGACAGAAAAAAAATAAATCTGTCTTACAAGTACAGCCACAATGCTCCTCTGTAACAAGGATGGCAAATCGTGGTCTCAATGTCCTCTGGACATGTCATCAGGAGAGACCAGTCCCTGGAGGACATCATGCTGGGGAAATGGTCAGTGGAAAAGAGGCAGACTCTCAACAGGATGAACACAGTGGCAGTGTTTCACTGTCATACTTGGGGTCACACTGGTCAGAGTCAATTCAACTGCACTTAACACCACCACTAACCATTTCAGATCCTGCTACAGTTAAAAGAAGGCTCCCTAGGAGGCCTAGTGTAGTAGTACTAGGATCAGCACTGGACTGCTAACTACAAGGCTGGTAGTTCAAACCTACCAGCTGCTCCTCAAACACCCTATACAGGGTTGCTCTGAGATGGAACTGACTTATCAGCACTTAATAATAGGACCCTTGGCTGCACTTGCCCAAAATGAAAGCCTTTCCAGACTCATTCCACTAGCAACTGCCTAAACATGACTTCTTCCACACCTGAAATATTTTTATGCCTAAGCAAACCATATATGGTAATCTAGACTTCATGAAACTTTGCGTTGTTCTGTTGTTAACCAAACCCAATCCACTGCCAATGAGTCGATTCCAACTCATAGCTATCTTATAGGTCAGAGTTGGAATGCCCCATAGGACTGCCAAGGTGGTCATCTTTCTGTAAGGGGACCGCTACACCTTTCTACAGTAGAGCTGCTGGTAAGTGCAAGTGGCTGACCTTCCAGTTAGCAGCCAAGTGCTTGGTCACCCCTACCCCCTAGCATGTCAGCAGGGTCTTCCTATCTGATCTGGGGCCCTCTGGCTTTTCCATCAGTCTCGTAGCTTTCAGTGGAACCAATCTTGTAACTGCATGGGAATCTCTCTTGGTTTTTGAGATCACTGGGACTGTCACGTGCAACAGCGTTCACGAATTTTCCTCTTCGTGTTCAGTAACCTCCTGTCTCGCTTCTGAATCCATCCTAGTCCCCTGCCTCTTGCTGAGGTTACCACTAACACTGGTTCTGTTGCATTTGGGAGCCACAATGCAGTTTATGGTAATATTTTTCAAAAGAAAACCGAACAGAGATAACACTACAACACTCAAAAGATTCCTAATCCATGATGTTGAAAAAAGTCGAAGCACACACTGTTACACGGCAAATTTTTTGCAGCTAATGGTCCCCGGATGGACATGATGTGGCACATGACTGTACTTGAAAGAACAGATTCAGAAAGCAGGAAGACAGCCATCAAAAAACAATCTTGGAAACACTCTCTCAGGTATTTTATAGCATCTAACGTTAATAACTAGAAAGGCTAACTTGGTTAGTGGATTGGCCCGGGAGGCTTAAACTGCTAATGAGGCACTAAAAATGTTGTTAAGTGTCGCTGAGTCGATTTCCACCCTTAGCAACCCTGCACAGGAGGAGTCCTGGTGTGGGGCTATATGTTAATGCTCCAGACTGCAAAGCCATTTGAACTGCAAGGTCGGCAGTTCAAGCTCACCAGCTGCTCCTTGGAAACCCTACACAGTGTATATGGGTTGGAATCAACTCAACAGCACTTAACAACAACAACATAGGGTTTCTGAGTAGCAGCTGAGCTTGAACCACCGACCTTGAGGTTCAGACAGACTCTGCAGTCCAGTGCCACGCCAGGACTGTAGCCATGCCTTATACTTTATAGGGGACAAACGACAAGATTTCCTCAGAGAAGACATTTCTGTTGTGTTGGGAAGTAAACTAGGCCAACGCAAAGAGGCACAAGATTTAGACAATTCTATTTCTAGAAGCCAATTGTTGGGGTCTCTGATCCACTAGGCAGGCCTCCAAGAAGCCTAAGAATTGGAGCGGCGACCTTAAGCTTCTGAAATGTAAAATGAGGGCTTGGCAGACCAAGGTGGTGGCAGTGAACCATCTTTCAGGCTAGACTGCCAGCGCTGTGGCCAGCTCCAGTGAGTAAACCACTTAGCCTACAGCCGTGACTAAAGGACACGTTCCACACCAGGTATTTCGGGAACTTCAGGAAGGAGCTCCTTCGACAAAAGAGGCCAGCCCAGGGCTCAGTGTTAGGGGGGAAGCCCACTTTGTGCTTGTGCTGCTTTCCGCGCCAACGACAGGCTCTAAGGGACACGGTACTTACCAAGGACGGCTACAGGGGACCACGGTACTTACCAAGGACACCTACAGGGGACCACGGTACTTACCAAGGACACCTACAGGGGACCACGGTACTTACCAAGGACACCTACAGGGGACCACGGTACTTATCAAGGACGGCTACTGGGGACACTTACCGGTCAGGACGGACTTAAAAGGTCTTTTCATTTCTACCACAAAGACATCATGAGGAAGCTCAAAACAAATTTCACCTTAGAAGCAGCATGAAATCAGTGTCACAGGAATTACTTTTTACCTCTTCAGCTTCATCTTCTTGATCCCAATTCCTATCCGTCAATTCCTTCTCAGCGATTCTTTTGGCCATTTTTCTGAACCTAAGATACAGAAAAGGAAAGTCAACAACTAAATTTTCCAGATGAAGAGTCCACTCTCATGAGGTATTTAAAAATCCATTCCAGCACAAAATGAGAGACAAAGGTTCCTGACACCAGTGGAACTCTGTGCTGGTGGTGTCAAGAGTCCTGGCAAGATAAGCAATGGACTACTAACCCAAGGTCACAGGTCAAACTCATCAGCCATTCTCGGAAAGCCTATACAAGGTTGCTGAGTCAGGATTGAATTGATGGCACACAACAACAACAACAACAACAACAACAACAAGGGAGGCCTGATGTGGCTCTGAAGGTTAAGTATTGAACTGCAAGGTTGATATGAACCAAAAGGTCAGTGGTTCAACCTCACCAGTTGCTCCCTGGAAGCCCTATACGGGGTCACTATGAGCTGGAACCGACTCGACACCACACTAGGAGGTCATGGAGCACAGCTCAGAAACACGGGCGCTCTTGCTACCCATCACTAAATCAACTCCATCAGGAAAATGGGAAAATAGTGATTTTTAAAAACCCTGGCAACTTAAGTATGGTATACAATCCTCATGTGCTTAACTAACATAACCTATGTACAAGAACCTTGCAACCTAGACACAGAGAACACTAGTCCAAAAATTCTCTTTAAAATCAAGGAAGCTCAGCGTCAGATGAGAATTTCAATCAGGAATGAGAAACCTCTTCACACTAGGACTACTCTGGAAAGAGAGTTGACAGGAAAGCCTGTTTCCCAAGACTGAGCATTTATTTTACCCAAATTGCATATTGGTAAGCTAAGACAGCGCTTTAGGGTCAAGATATGATTTAGACTATGGAAATGTTAACACCCGAGAATGCCTGACCCTCGTGTCGGGAAGAGGCAGGACTGCCAGGTGTATCACTACAGCTGTAACAGGCATCTGTCTAAAGTCAGGGCGTATGCCCATCCTGGAAACCAGCCATCTGTGTTCTCAGCCTAACAGCAGTTTAATGTTTCACGATTAAAACAAGCCACCACCAAACCGAGAGCTCAGGCTTCTTCCCATACTTGCCAACAGAATGGACTGAAACGCCTGTCCATTCTTGCTCAGGAACTTGTCCCTTAGGTTTGGGTGTCTGCCAGGGTTCCTGAAACCCACCTGGACTCCTCCGGCACACCTGCCTCCACCACCACCACCCACCGGCCTAAGAAAGCTTCTTGGAATCTCACGGTTGGTAGTCACATGCTCACAGGTCCCCCGTTGTCCCCCCAGTACCTGGATACTAATACTCAAATGCTGGCATGCCAAAGCTTACTCACACAGGGGCTTCCAACTTTGAACACAGTCCTAATGAGCTTTGGAATCCTAGTGTGATGCTGTAAGCTAAGCACTGGATTGCTAGTTTTGATAGCTATTGGTTCAAATCCAATAGCTACTCCTCAGAAACCTTACAGGGGTCCCTATGGGTCAATATCTACTCCACAGCACTTAATGAGATTTGAACTGTTCTTTTCCAAGCACATGCCTCTTTTGCTAATTACAAGACCATGGTTCTAAAGTACAAAGATTTTGATGTAATACATGCCTTTTTTTCCCCCTGAACCATTACCCGAGGAATTTTTTAATGCCTTTGCAAAAACCCTGGGTCAACTTTGACTATTCACCTTCACCATTCAAACAAAATTAAACAAGGTACTTTTAAAGACGTAATTCCTTACAGCCAATACGGATCTCAGGAGAATGATGAGGCTTTCTGCTCCCAGTACTGGGTGACTATGAGTTGAAACCCCTCACTGATCTGCTTTGGGGAAGAATCTGAGGATTCTTCCATTTACCTCCTCTTGAACAACCGCCACCAGAGGGCGGAAAAGAGAAGTTGAAATGGTCGTTTTTTGTTTTTTGATTTTAGATTAACTCTGGGCAAAAAAAAAAAAAAAAAAAAAGGTGGAGCTGAAAGTCAACTGTAAAAGGAGTGAAATTTGAACTTTGCACAACTATTCACAACTAAAGAGAGGACAGGCACTGTCAAATCATCGAAATAAACACAGCTGCTTCCACATGCCACCATGTGTGTTGAGTTAGGTGTAAAGAACCAGCAGGGATCTTGGCCTGTTTATTATGTGTGCCAAAAGCTCAGAATAGGTGCGCTCTCTGATGTCCAACGGGCAAACTGGGACATTAGATGTTGGAGAAAGCAACGCATTAGGTTGCCCTTTTCTAGCTGTGAGAGCTTGGGCAGGTTACGCTAATTAAATGAGAAATGAACAGTTTAAAACAGTACCTGTCGCACAAGAAGAGTTTAACAAACATTGTTAAAGAAATAAGGTTGGTTAATGGCTATGAACTATTTTTCCTCCCAAACTTGCAAGAGAGAAGAAATAAATCACGTAGAGGTACTTGAAACAACCCCTGGTACCTGGTAAGCCTCCTGTTATTGCTTCTAAGTAAAAAAGCACCAACTTACGAAATGATCTCTAAGTAGGAAGCAATGTGATAAATCACAACTCCAAGAAATTGGGGAAAACCCTTTGTGTGTGCCTAGTCTTCTTGGAGCGGCACTGTAGGATAAAGCACTAGACAGCAAAGTCAGTTTGAATCACAAAGTCAGCAGTTCAAACCCACCAGCTGCTCCTCAGAAACCCTATGTTGTTGTTTCTAAGTGCCCTCTTGGTTCTGACTCATAGGGCCCCTAAACGGGATTTCCGAGGCTTTTTAAAATCATCCGGAGCGTGCAGAATGCCTCCTCGTTCTCCAGCGGGGCGGCTGGTGGGCTCAAACATCGGAATTTTTTAGTTCAGTCCAGTGCTATGAGTCGGAAGTGCCACAAGGGTACTTAACAACGACAGTCAGGTAAGTCGAAGGAAAAAGATCTGTCCCCAAAAGACCATCTGGGAAACCCTAAGAAGCAGTTCTACTCTGTCCAATGGGGACACAGAAGAGAGTGGGGTTTGGGGAGGGAGTCATCGTTGAACTGAACTCAACATCCGCTCGCTCTAAGCCCCAAACACCAAAGTGGCTAAACTGCTACCAAGGGTTCGAACCCACCAGCCGCTCGGGTGAAAAGTTGAGGCCGTCAGCGTCTATAAAGATCTGCAGCCTGGCTAAGCCTACGGGGCAGGTCTACTCGGTCTTCCAGGGTCGCTAGGAATCGGAACCGAGTCGAGGGAAGTGGGGCTAAAGCGCTCCCCTAATACACAGAGAATTCAGCGGTTTAAGCCACCAGCAGCCGCGCGGAAGAAAGGCCTGGCGATCGGCCGCCCTGAAGATAGCAGCCTAGAAAACCCAAGGAGGCAGTTTTACTCTGTCCTACCGGGTGGAATGGATCCGATGGTACGAACAAACAACAATTAGTGAGGCGCCCGGAAGAAGACGGTACCAAGCAGCAAGCGTACACCGGAAGGGAAATTCCCTGGGGGAAAAGCACGGCTCAGGATCGCTTCATTATGGGGCCCGAGCAGGCAGGAAAAAGCCAAGCCGGGCCAGAAAGGCGCTGCCTGGGGCTCGCCAACGGACGAGACGGAATCGGGAGAAGGGAGCCTCGCCAACGGCTCCCCGGGCCTCCTACCTGGGCCGGGCCGCAGGGGCCCCGCGCCGGCGCCAGCCTCTCCAAGCCGGACTCCGGCCCGGCTACTGGGCCTCGGCCGGCTTCACAAACAGCCCCGGCTGCGTGGCTGCGCTGGCCGCCCCACCCTCTCACCTCGCCGGCGGTCGCCGCTGCACACGCTCCGCGGTCGTGGTCCGGGCGCTTGGGTCTGAGGCGGCCGCGGGTCTCCCAGCCGGGCGCGCTCGGCCGCTTCCGGTGCGCTGAGAGCCTCGAAGAACTTGGTGGTCGGCAAGCCAAAAGTCTCAAACACCATGACCCCCGGGGGCTCGTCTCTTTGCGTTGGCAAATGAGGGGAGCGCTGTCCGCTCAATCTGAGGCCGCCGGGGCAACGGCGCGGAAGACGCTCCAGGCCGCCATTTTGTAACTCGAATCTACCCCTTAAAACGAATTCGAAAAAAATGGGAGGAAAGAAACGCCCGCGTCCAGCTACTGCGCAGGCGCGTCGGAGTCCTCGCCGGCCACACCTCCTTCCAGGGGTAGTGGCGTCACAAGGCGTGAGCGCTCAGGACTCGGAAGCCGTCGCTGGGAGGGGCGCGTCCGTAACTGGGCGGAGCGTGTCTGCCGCACGCATGCGCACCCACTCGCCGGCCCTTGCCTGGAAAACCGGAGTTTGGGCTTTTTGGGCGTTTGTTTAGGCGCATGAGTCATGTGAGATCTAATGCAATTTGCGACGTTTGGGCGCGAATCGCTGCTGTGGGGCCAACGGGGCTGATGACTTATGAGAAGGTCGGGAGAGAAGGGTCAGTTAGCGAGCGTGATGACATTTTCCCGTGTGGGTGGCCCCAGGAATTCGGTCTAACTCTCCCCATCAACGCGTTTGGTGACTTTCGGATAATTTCACGTTCTACAGCCTCTGCCCCACCTTCGAATTCCCAGTAGACCATGCCAGCGGTGGCCCTGTTGGGACTGCCTGGATATAATAACATTTGTGCTGCACAGTTATGGACTGTGTAATCAATTACTCTTAGATGAAAAACACATTCGGCGTCCCATTGTATTTGTTTTCTGTGCTGTATGCTGGAGCTGTAAACTAACTTGCCCTACAACTTAGGATCAACGAAGCTAAAGTCTGCAAGCGTGCTTTTAAGGGGAAGAGCGAATGCATGTGTGCAGTGTCAAGTTTTGTGCTTTTGTTGGAATACTGAATTTTCAAGCAGGACAGTCCTAGGGTAAGATATACAATGTGGCTTTGCCTGATTCTCCGGTGCTAAAAGGTTAGAGAAACTATCTCCAGACAAGGGGAATTTGACCCATTGTGAGCTAATAAGGAAATCTGAATAATAAGAAGTTTTATGCTTAATTTTTTAAAATGTGTGTTTGTTGGAGGGTGTTGTGTGTATACTTTTAAAAAAAACTATGGAGTGTTTGTGCAGAACCTGCATGTAGAAATACAGTTTATACAGTTTCAGAGTGT